ATTTTTTAAAATATCTTTTGTATATATCTACAATTTCCAATGAGTTTCTCATTTATTTATTTTTTTGAGATACAGTCTCACTCTGCTGCCCAGGCAGGAGTACAGTGGTGCAATCTCAGCTCACTGCAACCCCTGCCTCCCGAGGCCAGGTGATTCTCCTGCTCAGCCTCCCGAGCAGCTGGGATTACAGGCACCCACCACCATGCCTGGCTAATTTTTATATTTTTAGTAGAGATGGGGTTTTACCATATTGACTAGGCTGATCTTGAACTCCCAACCTCAGGTGAACTGCCCGCCTCTACCTCCCAAAGTACTGGGATTACGGGTGTGAGCCATCGTGCCCAACCTTACTTCTTGCTTTTGGTCTAACCACAGCCCACTGTGAAATTGCAGCATCCCCTGGAACTGGAGGAAGTAACTGAATCCTCCATCTCCTGATGTCTAGCTCACAGTTTGATTCCCGCTTCCCAGAGATGAGCTTGAGCCAGATGTTCTCATCAGGCACACCAGCCGAATGGAGCTTGCTTCTCATCAGACCAAAGCCCGAGCCAGCCCCTGGGGAGCTGACCCTGCTTCCAAGTAGTAAAAAAAGAACCTGCAGAGCCACGATGCACATCCCTCAGCCATCTGTCCAAGGGGCTGTGACCCTCTACAGAGAAGCTGGCCAACAATGCTCTGCTGTTGTGGAGGCCAGCAGGCTGCTGGTGAGGCCTGCCAGGCTCACTCAGCACAGGCAACAGAGCCCTGGATCTCAGGGACGGGCAGTGTGGCCACTCCATGCTTCCCTCCGTGGCTCTCTTTGGAACTTAAGAGACAAAGTCAGGAAATTGGGGTAGTTCAATAGGATATTTTTCTTTCCAGCTGTTGATGACAAAAGGGAGATGATGCCTTCTGACCAACTTTCTTAATTACCAACTTTCTTAATTAAGCACTCACCAGGCTATGTCACTAAGCAGAATGGGACATAAAACGTGCCCTACCGTACGGGTATTTGGTGTCCAGCTTATTCTCTGCTGTCCTTCTCCAAGGCAACAGGTCATCACTGCACCCATTTGGCATCCCATTGTACCCGATCCCGACAATCTTGTTTTCTGAATTCACGATGCAGGCGCCGACCTAGAAGGAAACATGCCCGAAGGCTTGGTGCCTGCAACTGGCTGGACTGCCACTGAAGAAGCAGGGAATGAAACCAGGGGGACTGCAGGACTCAAAACAGATGCAGAGCTGCTGCAGGTGCTGAGAGCTGTCGGTCTCCTTGCCTGTTTTTTGTGGCAGCTCCTGCAAGCCAAGGAAAGTGCACCCCCAGTCCCAGAAGGGGCACAAGAGGCAGTTAACAATGGCATGGGACAATTTTCTGTCTCACAGGAAGAAGTAAGCTTGTAGAAATGCAGCACAAAAGGCAGACTGACACTGCACTTTTTTATTTTTGTTTGTTTTTTGAGATGGAGTATTACTCTGTCTCCCAGGCTGGAGTGCAGTGGCACAATCTCGGCTCACTGCAACCTCTGCCTCCTGGGTTCAAGCGATTCTCCTGCCTCAGCCTCCCAAATAACTGAGACTACAGGCACATGCCACCACGCCTGGCAAATTTTTTGTATTTTTAGTAGAGACAGTGTTTCGCTGTGTTAGCCAGGAAGGTTTCGATCTCCTGACCTCATGATCTGCCCACCTCAGCCTCCCAAAGCACTGGGATTACAGGCGTGAGCCACCGCACCTGGCCGACACTACACTTTTAAGTTGACAGACGTCCACTGAGTCTCCCCTCTCTGCTCACGTGCAGGAAACTCTTTGCCTGTGGGTGTCTAAGCTTTCTTTTATGAAATTCATTTACCTGGGAATTTGGATCTTTGCTTCTCTGTGCTGATAAGAAGGCCACAGCCATAAAGTACTCAGGCCATTCCAAATAGTCAACCCGTTTCTTGCAGGAAACTTCACTCATATTGGATCTACAAAGAAAACGTGACAAAACAGAAGTTGAGAAAAGCATTTTACTGTCTGTTTTCCAGTTCAACCCAACCACACTGAACCTTTAAATCTCTAAACACAGGCAACTTCAGCCACATTTATCAATCAGAAATCACAACACATGGACCCTAAACAGTCACTGGTCTTAAGTAAAAAATTAAGAAATTTCCTATTTCAGAAATCTGAATTTGGCACCTATAGCTTCATGTTCCCAAATATTTCATCTATTTCCTGCTTTCTCATAGGATTTTTTTTTTTTTAAGTTACTACACATGCTGGCCTACAAATTGTTCTGTCCTTTACCTCTCTCCCTTAAAAAAACAGAGTCAGCACGAGGGAGGGTGGAAAAAAGAAATATTTATTGATCATCTATAGATTCCAGACATTGTTAAAGCTTATTACACATCATGTCACTCAAGCCTCACTCCTGGCTAAGGTAGACAATGCCATCCCATCTGACAGAGACTCAGAGAACCACAAAGGATTATTATCCATGCCAGACGGATTTAAAGAAAACATCTGAAGCCTTCCCAACTCTGATATTAACCAGATAATTTTTCCCTTCCCTTTCCCTCGTTACCCCAGATGGGATAGAAATTGTAACGCTGAGTAATGAATTACATGAGAAGGAACTATGAAAAATGTCAAGTGCTACTCTTAAAGCCAGGTTTTTGGAATGTAGGCTTCACCAGGGCCAAGCACAGGCCGTGTCTACAACAGGGAGAGCCCACGAAGGGTCCTAGAACTTCAGGGGAATGGTCCCTTTCAAAAGGAATGAAACAAGGGCAAGGAAGGAAGACAACACAAAAACGGGGTGGGTACCACTGAGAAATCTTGAGAAAGATGAGGAATGTGGTCTAAAGGAAGGCAAGCATTTCCCAAAGCTTCTGCTTCAGGCTCCACACTTGAGGCTTATGCTACCGTGCAGGGCGGCAGTGCCTAAGGCTAGGATGCGGTGGAGAGTCGGTGCTGGGAACCACGGTCACCCACTGAAAATGCTGCCCTAAATCTGAGAAGCCTGGCAACCCCCTTAACAAGAAAATAGAAATGTTGGATCGGCCTGGTTTCCCACCTGGCTAAAGGGGACCATCTGTCATCGCTGCGGGGTGCTAGAGAAGGACCTACTAAATAGGAGACAGGGGGCAATGGAGGGGCGAGGGAAGGAGCCTGTTAGTCGTCTGGGCGCCTTCCCCGGCGTGGCTGAACGCCCACTGGAACCCTGTGAGGACTGAGGCCCAGCTGTAGAAACAGAAAGAACCGAAACTCGGATACAACGATTCATGGAGACACACCTGGTTACCGTCCCAGGCAGACCCCAAGCCGCCGGCCACCCCCTGAGCCCTGATCCAGGGCCTACACTCGCATTCCCACCCACACACGGGCGCAGGAAGGGGTGCGGTGTTCAGGCGCCCGGCACCACCTCCCGGGGCACTCCCGAGGGGACCGGCCTCGCACAGGCCGCAGCGCCCGCCGAGAAATCGACCGCGGCGTGACTGCGGGGACCCCGAGCGCTCCCACTCCCCAGGACTCTCCGATCTGAAGGCTGAGCGCGGCCGAGACGCCGCAGGGTCCGCCGCCCCTGCCCCAGACCCCCGTGCGCCCGCCGGCGTCCAGCGTCCCGCTCCCCGCACTCGGGATGGCGCCACGCGGCGGTGGCGAGGGGCGCGCGGGCCGCGTACCCGCACTGCCGGCCCCGGCCCACCACACGGTGCGGGCTCCGCTCGAAGGCCGGTGCTCGTCCCCGTCGCCGCCGCGTGAAGGGAAGGAAGTCGGGGGAGGGGGCGGGGCCGGAAGAGGGCCGCGGCCCGGACGCCGGGCGCTCCCAGGACTGCAGGCGCGCGGGGCCCGGAGCGGGGCGGGCCGCACCCATCAAAGGTGCTGCCGGGCGTCGCCGTAGCCTCCGGGTCCCCGTGACGCAGCCCGCAGTCCGGCAGGCCGGCGGAGTTCAGGGCCCGAGCACAAACCACTCCCCGGGTGCCAGGCTGCCCCGAGGTCGCCCCGCTGCTCCCACGCGCGGCGCTGGGAGGCCGCGGGCTGGGCGCTCCCGGGCCTGACTAGTCGCACGACCGTCGGGGGCTGCTCGGTTTGGGTGGTGATGATGATGGTGAGGTTTTCCCCGCCAGCCGTGTTCCGTCAGCTCCTCAGGGCCACGGCCGTAGAGATTCTGTGTGATTAAAAGACGCCCCAAGAATCTAGTGGCGTGAAACTGGCGGGTCGGAGGTGGGGAGGGCCGGTTCGGGTCTCCAGTGAGCCCGCTGTGTCGCAGCGTCCCCATGGGTACCCCTGGCCGGTGGCTGGGTGACAGTTTCACACTGGGCCCGGCAGGGGCACTGCGCCTCGAGGCTGTGCCCAGAAGCTGGGTTTGCATCTGGGTGCGCCTGACCGGCTTGCAGCTTCTGCTCAAATTGTGCGGAAGGGCCTGAGGTGCTGGCTAAAGCCTGCCGCCCGCTGCTCGACCCCCATCACCGCACGTCACCCCAACTGCACGTTACCTCCTGATAACGCTTGCCCACTGAAATTGCGCACATTTTGTTGCAGCTGTTTCAAAGATCAGAAAAACAGGGCACAGGGCGATAAGAAAGACCATCATTGGCATTTCTGGAGTCGTATGCCCCAAGCAACTAAATCTGGTTTTCGTGAACTTCGTTACCCTATGCAGGCGTCTAGCCACTCACAGTGGTTCTAGCACAGAGAATGAATGACAGAAGAACCCCTTTCTATTTCAGTCGGGACTTGAGGGTGCCGTCAGCACTCTGTAAATGATAGCTACTATCATAATCATCAGTTCTGATCTGCACATCCCAGGTTTGAACTGCTATTCCAAACAAAAGCTTGTTAACTATATTAATTTAGCCTAACGGAGGAAGAATGATGAGAGTAAACACTTGGTTCTATCTAATTTCTCACTACAGCAGACACATCATTCTTCATCTCATGGTCCAGCTTGTAGATTCAATAATTAAATTATGTACCGCTCTTGGTGGATGCCGGGAAAGCAAAAGGGAGAAATACTTCATCGTTAACTATAGATTTTTTTTTTCTTTGCCTTGATAAGACTCGGGCTTGAAAGAGCCACATAGATTAAGATGATGATTTTTAATGTCAAGTTGACTTTACGTGGCTGTCTTGTTGCCACTAAACTATGTTATATCTCCTGAGCCCCTGCTTTCCCTCCCCCTCCCAAATCCACTGCTTGGTCTTTGTCTCACTCCTCCACAGTCTTTGGGTCTTCGTAGATCCATTTCTCTTCTTACCAACCTACAGCCCATACATCACCAATTGCTGCTGGTCCTTCAACCACAACGTCATTAAGCTTTCTTCCTTCCTCTGCTCGGTAAGGACTGTCATACATAATTTAGTTACTTCTCATCATTCTCCATTTTGGTCAACTCACACACTCCCCTCTGCCATAAATTCAAGCTCCTGCTTGCTGAAAACACATTACCCTGAATGTTCCTGCATTTCACTGAAAGTCCCTCATCTTAAAGATGACATCATTCATAATACAGGAAACCCTCCTAGTTCAGAGTTTCACAACTTGAGGTTTCAAATATTCTGCACCAATAGTGAAGCCACACAGCCAACAGGGGGAAAAATACATTCCTTGGTATGTCTTTCTCATTAACACCTTGTAACTCCAAGTGTAACTGTAGGTGTTAAATCTCTCTTGTTAATACCTTGTATTTTGGTTTAAAATTGAGGATCTTTCTCCACCTTCTACAGATACAGAGGTTAGGTGTGTGTCCAGCCCTCTCTAGATTGCCCTTCCTTGAGAACCTCACAGAGGTTGAACACAATCAGCACATTCCTAAGGACTACTGTCTTGGTCCTTTTGTTTATGGGGCTTCAGATCATCTATGTCTGGTCTAGAGCATAGCCTGGAATATATTAATATTTCGGTGTGCCTTAGGTGGGGGAATCCCACTTAAAAACAGAAGTCAAGGTAAGATTCTTCCAGGGCCACCTCAGAAGAGGGGTTGATGGCATTTGCAAATGTCTGCCCTACCAAGATACTGCCTGCCCCTTCTTTCACCTCTGCCTGCCAAGGTAAGGATGTGACTTGTAACTGGGGAAACAGAGGCAAGGAGTCAGGAAAGTGGCCAATCTGTCCATCAAGCTTATCATGAGAGAAAGACCACAGGCCTTGGAGTCAGAAAAGACTTTGAACCTTATTCCCACTCCTTACAACCCAAGTGACCTTAACAAGCTACTTCCATTCTTGGAGTCTCTGCAAAATCAAAAATATTCGTTTTTTAATTAATGCCCTACTAAGTGCTAAGTGCTGCAAATACCATGAGGGGAATACTCACATTCCCCTCTCCCCAAATAAATACAGAGAAAAACCGAACCTCATTGCTGGCCCAGTGAACATAGTAAATGTTGTTATAAACTGCCTGTTGTTCTTAATTTGATGGTTGTCAGGACCAAAAACTTATTTTCATAACTTAACTGCACTTAGAGGCAAAGTGCCACTTTGACTGGTTTTCAAAGGAATAATTGTTTATGTTTCCATTTTAAGTTGCAAACTAGAAAGAACTCTTTAAATATTAAGTAAAAGATGACTGTAAATCTGATAAAACACAAAAAAGTCAAAATGAATATTCTAGAAAAAAATAAATATGTGGTCTTATCAATACAGTACAGGTTGAGCATCCCTAACCTGAAAATTCAAAATCGAAATCCTCCAAGATCTGAAACTTTTTCAGTGCTGACACTCCCACAAGTGAGAAATCCATACCTGACCTCATGTGATAGGTGCACAAAATTGTTAAAAATATTCTATCAAGCTACTTTCAGGCTATGTATATAAGGTGTATATTAAACATAAAGATTTGGGTCCCATCCCCAATATACCTCATTATATATATGCAGATATTCCCAAATCTGAAAAAATCTGAAACCTGAAACACTTCTGGTCCTAAGCATTTTGGAGAAGGGATATTCAACCTGTATATACATTTCGTATGTATGTTAGAGGATGAGATCAGTTGTTTTTGTTCAATGAATGGCATACAGACTGCAAATTGACGTGAGAGAGCATTCCTATCAGAAAAAAATCAGGATCTCTAAATAGGATTTTTGTTATGAGTTCAACTCACCAGTTACCTTTGTCATTACACATCTTCAAAATTACAGTGAAGGGCCGGGTTCGCTGTAATGAACTCACTCCTGTAATCCCAGCAAAGTGGGAGCCCAAGGTGAGAGGATGGCTTGAGCCCAAGGAATTTGAGACCCTCCTGGGCTATGCGAGACCTAGTCTCTACAGGAAAAAAAAAAAAAAGTTTTAAATTAGCCAGGCATAATGGTGCATTCCTGTAGTCCCAGCTGCTCAAGAGGCTGAGGAGGGAAGATTGCTTGAGTCCAGAAGGTTGAGGCTGCAGTGAGCTATGACTGCACCACTGCACTCCAGCTTGTGACAGAAGGAGACCCAATCTCAAAAAAAATACTTTTTTTCACTGAAGATCAATAAGGAAATGTTAACATGGCATATGCACAGAGCTGGGTGTTTTGCTGTTTTATATCAATAAATATTTATTGAATAATAGAATTAATTAGAATAGAATTAATTGACTAAATGAATTAATAGAAAATCATTGTTATAAGCCCAACTGTTTGGAGCATCTAACTCAAAGAGAGAAGTCTTTGTCTATGAACTCTGGTTCTACTTTCCTGTCTGCCTCCTTTTTCTCTTTGCGATTCATGGACCTGGAGAGATATTTGATAAGTGAGACATTGGGACTGGTGGGTCAGGGAAGCAGAGTGAACAGAATCATTTTAAGGAGGCATGGATCTCAGTCCTACGATTTGGGGCTTAGCCTGAAAATGACCATCTCTAGTACAGCAGAGCCGAAGGCAGAGGGAAAAGCTGTCCCCTGTTTCCTGGTGTGATGCTTCTCCCCATGACTTGCTTTGCCTCTACAGAGCTGAACTTGTAGCCTCTTTCATACGTAACTGGTTGAAGTGGATGGAAATTACATGTCTTATTGCTTCTTAAAAGATTAACAACATATAAAATGTAAATCTAAAAGAAATGGGCAATTTTCTCGTACCACTTTATATTTCTGTGTAAGTTACCAAGTGCCAATCATCCTTACTTTTTAAAATTCAAATTTGTCAAGCAGCATGTAAGCTTTCAATGTTGTACAAGAAAAGATAATGCTTCATGTGGAACAGTCACTTATGCTAGTTCTGTGAAAGTGCCTACCCAAAGAGAATGTATCAGATTGTTGGCTTTATGGAAATGTTAATGATCTCACTAAATTACACCCTCTACTCTGGGGTCACCAAGGAACCTCCTAAATGGTAATCAACAAGGTATTATGGTTCTGGATATAGAATTCTTTATTGACATCAGAGTCACCACTCATTTTGTGATGTGTATTTTAACTGGTGCAGCAAGGTGAATGCCTAAGAACCATTGTAAATGAAAGCCCCTGCAAAATTGTAGTTGGGTGTTAATGGCTATCATCACCACCTGATGTGTTGTACCTTCCCTCAGCTAACTGGAAAGCTCACTGGGTGTAAACCCCTAAAATGAGAAGGCGAGAATCAAATGAATATTTTAGTATGGCAGTGCACCGTGTGTGTATATTGAGGATAACACCTGTGATTCTACCATGACGACAACAATCTGTTGTTAATTCCGTGAGGGAAAAAGTCATCTACAGTCAGGAGCAAACCAAATAAGGGAGGAAGCCGATCCTATGTGAATGTCTGTTGACACATTTGAAGAAATTCAAAGCTTTGATTCAGGAGCTGACGGAGAGCA